AGATTGTAAAAAAAAAAAAAGATTGTAAAAGAAAATCGCAGGCTTTGCGATTTGATAATCGCATCATTTCAAATCGCAATTTCGATTTAAAATTGATTGATTGTTCAGCTCTACACAGGAGACGTCTTATTCTTTAGTTCATTACCGAATCAGAATCAGGTTTATTGCCAAGCAGGTTAACAACACATACGATGAATTTGGCTGGTAAAAAGTAAGAAGAAACAACCAAAAAGTTAAATAAAAACAATTACATTAGACATCCAGTTCTTTTAATAGAAATGTGTAGATAGATATATTGGTGCTTTAACTTAAGTTAACTTTCTAAACACTTGTTTAACCTCAGAACCCAACAGACCATGTTTTTTAAGGCTGCAATCTTCCATCAAATAGAAATATTCAGGATGTTGAGCACCAAAAAAATCAGCATGATTTGGTTATTCCAAAAAACATTATGGTCGCTTCCAGTAGAAAGAAATAATGTCCCTCTCCATTCGTGATATATGTGTTTTGAATACCTCTACTTGCCCTCTTAACCTTCATTTCCATATGCAATCATATAGAAGCAAACATACGTATATTAAAACAAAGTCAAATATGTCATTCAGGTTCTTTCATAGAAGGATAACAACCAAAGGGACTCACTTGACGTCGTTTTAAACAATATGCCGTCACCCATATGTTAAGCAGACACTTCTTCATCTGCCTGTTGGGAAACCTGGACAAATAGTCTGGTTTAAAGATATAACTAACAAGTGTTCAGTGTGAGATTTAAGAAATCCCTTTACTTATGCTAAAGTTGCTTTAATACACACACACAGGGCGACTTCTCATCCCCACGGTTAATAACCATCGGGGTGTTGAGAGCAGAAGGGTTACGGAGGTCTGCGGTCGCCGTGCGCTTCCCGGCATCACACCCTCAGCAGCGGTCATTACCTCGATGTGGGGAGACTCTGCAGAAACACAGCGTCACGGAGCCAGAGCCAGGAATAACAGCCCAAATAATCAGCCCTTTCACTCCCTACGAGCATGACATCACCACAGCCACACACAGCCACACACACACACACACACACACACACACACACACACACACACACACACACACACACACACACAGCGCGCGCACACACACACACACACACACACAGGCTCAGTCTGTCACGGTGTCTCCGGGTCTCAGGAATGCGCCCGGCGTTTTTCTCTGTATTTTTCACATTAAGAGCAGTTTGGGAAGCCGCTGTGAAAGCCGCTCTCTGAACCGCTGCCAAGGTAGATGCGTTAAATCGTATACTTCCGGGTACGCATTTCAAAATAAGAGTCACTTACACTAAAGATGTTAAAAAGGGAAATACATGTACCTTTTCAATGAGAATCTTGTGTGTTATAATGAAATACTTTGACATGTTTTTACTAATTATTTGCATAATATGTTACTACTTGCCAAGACAAATCTTGTGTTTACCGATAAATAGCCAAAAATCTAACAATTGTCTTACCAATATTTCACCTCCAACAGCCTCCATCCTATTAATAGTGGAACTAAAGCTACATAAACTGTTTTATTAACACATTTCCACAATATTCTTTTGATCTGTTAGCAATGAAAGGCTGTCATACCTGCAATATTACAGCCTTTCATTGCTAACAGATCAAAAGAATATTGTGGAAATGTGTTAATAAAACAGTTTATGTAGCTTTAGTTCCACTATTA